CAATATATTGTGCACCAGATAATGATGTTTTTATTCTTTTGTAGATCAAAGCTTCTTCTAATTGTTGAAATGGTGTTAACAAATTTGTAAATCAAAGCTTCTTCTAATTGTTGAAATGGTGTTAGCAGATTTGTATATCAAAGCTTCTTCTAATTGTTGAACTGGTGTTAGCAATTGAATCTGCTTCAGATTGGATTTCAAGAACTGACCATAGAGGCTATATACAATTTAAATCTGATGACTGTGGTGGCCAAATTAGATGCCCAAACTCTTTCTCTTTAACTATATCACCCGTATGAATTGATGCATTGTCTTCCTGAAACAGACCTGCTCCGCTTGGAAATAAAGGGTTAACCATAGGATGAACCTTCATGATTAGCAATAAAACTTAAGTAACTATTTGTTGTCACCCTACCTTTCAGTGAGATCACGGGCCCAAACTATTCTAACAAAAACTGCCCATACCATCACACAGCTTTTATCATTATGGCACAGACATTCAGAATTATAAGCTTCTTTTGATATTCACTACACATGAACATGACTGTTTGATGGAAAAAGTGTAAAAGATGATTCACCTGATCAAATCACACCTTTCCGCTGTCCCATTGCTATGATAGTGACGTCATTTAACTCAGAATGGCAAATCTACTATGGTAATTCATCTTGTGGAGTTACCTTTCAGTTGTTTTGAGAGATTGATTATTGTTGGCTAATTAGAAATTAAATGACAGATTGTCATAAACGTGAATTAACACGAGTAAGTAAGACGAACACAAAAGACTAAAGCATCTTGAGTGTACGCAGAAGTTAACATTAGGCAACAATAATACGCAAAAGTTAATAGCAGACTGGGTTCACTGGTCATGGTAGCACCCTACAATCTTTCTCGTTCTCTCTTTTTTTATCGTTTGGTGAAGGTGATCATTTTTTTTTTCTCTTTACTTCGTTCTGAGCTTGAAACATTCCATGGTTTGAATAAGTTCAAACTCATAAAGTGTTAGGTTTCTTGTGATTGGAAATAAACGAACACAGTAATGGAAAAAAAGCAAAATAGAATCTCAAGAAATGTTTTTTTTAAAACATCAGATAGTCAAAAAAAAAGAAAAAAGAATGAAGATGACAAACTTGGAATGTTCACTTATTCTGGTTTATCATCGTGATTAAAAATGTTTACTATATAAATATTAAGAGTGTTTCAGGCCATTCTTATGCCATGAAGTTTGGAGACGGCTTGAATGGGTAGTGAAAGAAGCTTTATTACAAAAGTACAACGTTTTGACAAGTTTTTTCATCATCAGGTACTTTTGATGGTACTTGATGATGACGTTAGCTAGTCAAAAAACGTTGTGCATTTGTAATAGTTTAGTTCGAGACTTTTCCAAACTTTATTTTCTAGAGTGAGTTCCTCGTCATCAAATTTGAATTCGTCAAGGCGATTACTCGAGGTTGTGTAAGTCTAAACGTTTGTCTTTATTCTTCTACGTATATCTTTCTAGTATGTTCCCTCACTTGTCCACAACCACAAACCTGTCGTACCGTGCAACTGTATCCAAACGTCGTAGCATAAATGTAAAAATCGTCCAATGTCGCTCTGAATAGCTAATTCCCAACTTTGTCAAAGTTAAGTTATCCAAAACCTAAATCAGTTTACAGGTATTGTCCAAAACATGCAACAAAAACTTCCAAATATCAAGAACTAAACTATTTACTTAGATGTAGACAAGAATTAAACTACCAGCATGTGAATGCAACAATATACAAAACCATGTGAATACAACGCTTCATGAACCAAAGCATCTCGGTCGGTGTTAAATCAAGAGACGAAATCTATACACAGCAAAAAACTTGTAAAAAATGAGGAGAAAAAACAACAACGTGAAAGGCAATACAACAGCGAAGCACAACCTAATCTTGTAATCAACAGACGGGTCAGATCAACCACTAAACGACACGAGCTATAACGTGCTTGATGATGACAAAAGCTAGTCGAAACGTTGTAAGTCAGTAATAAATATTTTTCACTACCCATTCAAGCCGTCTCCAAACTTTACTTTCTGAAACAGTGAATTCCTCTTCATTAAATTTGAATTCTTATGTTAGGAGTAGCAACTCGGACGGTTTTACGAACTTTTTTATTGGGACTGACACTAAAAACAACGTGCAAGAGGCGAAGTGTTATTGTGCGCTTTTATAACTAAAACGCGTAGAAAATTGGTAAAGTATTTTTTAGTATTATTGCAATGTTTCATATAACAACGGCTTAAATAAACAACCGTTATGGTACGTGAGAATCAACAGCGTTAGGTACATAAGTTTTTTTTTTTGTTTGTCGCGCCTGAGAGAAGTAATGCTTTACACTATCCATTCAGAATAATTGATGATTCCACTAGCGAAACGTGAACAGCGTTTTGCGGGCACAATAGTCGCTTGAGTACTATATAAAAGTGCGCTTTGATAAGAAGGATTTACCACATTTCAAACTTACCAGCCAATCTACATGCTTATCTTTAATCAGAATGTCGTGAATGACTCATGTAGCGTGGTATTCATTTATTTAAAGACGTATTACAACTTTTTTTTTCTCACAATGCATAGACACGATGTGGAAACTAGAAAGATGAGGGTAGTTTTTTAGTTAGAATCCGGGTTCCGATACCCGTGGTGGGCAGATCACAGATAGCCCATTGTGTAGCTTTGTGCTTAATTACAAACAAACAAACAATCTACAAGAAGATAGGTGGATGAAATATGTGACCATTTTAATGGTAGATTATAAATAAAGTTGGTGTTAGGGGAACAAGTTATAACTTCAAATTCATCTTCATTAATCCTAGGTAGAGTTTGAGTTACAGATTCAATGTTTTCATTCAAGAGCATTCTTTTCTAAAAGCAGCATGGAGATGTACCATCAACACATTAAAAGTATTCTTCTCTTGAAAAAAATCTAAGTCTTGTTGTTGCTAACAAAACGCCATTAATTAAAAGTTCCTTTCCCGAATACATTCTGCTCTTGTCCACGTTTTACTTGTTAGTTTCCTTTGATAAAAAAATAAGCCGGTACATAGAAGATGAGACGTGGTTAATGTTATTAACAATCTATTTAAAGACTTTGTGGTTTTTAAGTTGCTATACAACGTCATTAACGTCCACTCATCTTTTTCTGGAAACATTATTGTACATTTAGCTGTATGTGTGACGCACCTTCATACAATTTCCTCTAGTGAAGACATTGCTTTTGTACTCCAGCTTATTTCCTGGGATCACTATGATATCTCTAACAGCTGGTGTTACATCAAAAACATAAAGTGACAAGTTGATTAAGTTATTCAACTAATGTTTTCCTACTTTAATACGATGGTACAATCTCATGACTGATGATCACACATAACTTAGGAGACCTTAAGGAAAGGAGCGTGCCGTTCAAGTTTGGGAAAAGCTTGGGCTGAAGTGAAAAGTCCGACAAAACGCCATTCCCCACTATGCCTGTGATGATGTAGAATCACATGATGTGTAAAGGTAGATGTAATATAAAGGGGGCATTACTAGAAAAATTATGAATAATATTTCTTTTAAATATTCAAATGTTGCAAGGAATAACGAATGGGATGTTGTTTTCTAAGCCAGCGTTGCAGAGGCAAGTCTGGGCTTTTGCTTTGATCAACATAAATGTGTGTGTGGTTTGTTTATTTATTTAAGCACAAAGGTACACAATGCTGTGCCCAACGCGGGTATCGAAATCCTGATTTTAGCATTATAAGACTTCAGACTTCCCGCTGAGAATCATGTATTGAGAATTATCTTATTGGGGTTTAATTACATAAAACTGAACCACTTTATCATCTTCATTTTTAATAGAGATTATAGATTCAAAAACGTAATCTTTTGAGACATGCTTTGAAGCCCCCTGTGGGAAGATCACAGATAGCCCATTGTGTAGCTATGCGCTTAACAGCAAATAAACATCCTATGAACTAACATAGCTTAAAGATTTGATGTTACAGTGTTAAATGCTAAAAGCTGACAATGAAATGGAACCAATAGTCACAATATTTGTGATGAAAATTACGTTAGGCTGCAGATGTTTTCCTGACATTTATCTTAGATTTCTCATTATCTTCTGATCAAAGAAAGCTACCTGCATAAGTCAAAGCTAAAGATTAACCCAATAAATTATATAGGTAATTTAATATATAGTTCTTACTTATACTGACAAGGATGTATTGATTCATTAGTTAGGTATCCTGTCTGTTAACGCTATTTTATACTACAGGTTTCAGATCAGATGTGTGCAAAAATAGTAAATCACCTGCAGTTTAACATGATTTTTTATCTCTGAAAAATTCCAGGTTTAGTACTTTCAGTGCTTCGTCAGCTTTTTCGCATCACATGTAAAACAGCGTATTTTTGGGTGCCATCTTGGTCCAGCTCAGTTGGAGAGCTGGGGTATTGAAAGAAGGTATCTGCGTTCTGTCTACTATGGGGAATTCAACACCGGATTTTAGCGTTGTAAGTCCACAAAAATACCGCTGATCCACTGGGAGACGTTCTGACAGTTTGTTTGTAATTAAGCACTAAGCTACAAAAATGGGCTATCTGTGCTCTGCCCGCCATAGGGAATCAAACCCCGAATTTTAGCGTTGTAAGTCTATAAAAATACCGCTGATCCACTGGGAGACGTTCTAACAGTTTGTTTGTTTGTAACTGAGCAAAAAGCTACACAATGGGCTATCTGTGCTCTGCCCGCCATGGGGAATCGAACCCCGTATTTTAGCGTTGTAAGTCTATAAAAATACCGCTGATCCACTGGGAGACGTTTTTACAGAAACTTTACTTCTAGATTGCTGTTTCTTCCATTCAACGCTAGTAAAAATGTGAGATAGAGCGTGAAACATTAAAGTCGTATACATATCAACACTCACATTTAATTGCTGACGATTAGAGGTTAAGTTGGCCGGTTCATCTGCTACGAAGTAAAGAGTTTTTGTCTGAGAAAACTTTGTTGTTGCATTTACAGTTTGTAATTATCTTTTCAGAAATAGAGTTAAGCTAATTAAGTATTTTGCATTACTAATTTTATTTTCAGAGCCTACAGCCTGACGTAAGACTCGGCTCTAGAGATAGACTGGATAGGGGCGGCACCTGGCGACGAGATTGGCAACCTCAAGGAAGGGTTTACACTTCATGGTCTGGGTGGTCTGCGTGGTCAGAGTGTAGTAGAACGTGTGATGGCGGAGTAAGCATGCGCACACGAGTGTGTAGAAGAAGGTGGGTAATTACGATTGTAAAACTGGTTCATTACCATTTTTTAAAAGCCAATTTACATTTCTTTTCATAACCCTGAGGAACCAATTTTGAAATACCAACAGTAATTATGCCTGTGGTTCTGCAGTGTGGCGACACATAAACCATTTTTTTATTTCCTTGTAAATTATCTGTCACGAACGCAAGAAGAATAAGGCTTAAAAGTACAGAGCTGAGTCAAGTCCATAAGGCAATCAGCTTGTCATCTGACAACTTTTTAGACCTCTTGTTTGAATATTTCCCACTTTTTCTCAAAACATTGCATAAAATTGGCTTTCTTCAGTCTGCGCATTTCATTGCGCTCAAATGGGGAAATATGTTCCGTAATTGGTGTTCTTTCAATTTGACGAGTGTTCAGAGTAGCATCATGGGTTATCTTGTGAATACTGTTTATGTATTAAACATATAAGGAATAAACAATTAGTTACATTCCATTGCTAGCATTGCATTAAGCATTTAAAACTATTATTTAATTAAATAATATTGTGTGTAACTATAACAATAAATGTAATCTTATAAGTTGCAATTCACCTAGTACATCTTTACTGATGTAAATTCTAGATGAATACTTAATATTACTGTAGAAATGCTCAATACAAGAAAAATTTTAATCTTTTGGAAATTCCAATAATTAACTCATAATATATGATTCGAAATAATTCAAAATATTCCTACGAGATGGCGCGCCTCAACTATCCAATTGTTATAGTCCCTTTCTACAGTGCTTCACCTGGTTTTGAGGTAATGATGCTAGATTGAATTTTGCCACAGTTATTTGTATGTATTTAATACAGATTAATCTTACTCATATATATATATAAACAGCCCGCTTTGTGCTGCTTTTGAAATCCTTTTTGCATAAAGCCCCAGATGTTACGATGTTTAAAAACAATAAAGTTAAACCCAATTTACAGAGGTTGGACTGTATAATGGAAACATCTCACCTTTTTAACTCCAGGTTTTGGTGTCTCTAAAAGTGCATAATCTAGCCTTATGATAACTTAACTGAGCATTATATTATTCTATATGATCGAATTTGTTTGTATACGAATAGTTTTTCAGAGAAACTTTCCAAATATGCAAAGATAAAAAGATCTGTAAGATTTCCAAAGATGCATGATTATAGGTGAACATCTAGCTAGACCCTCAGTGACATAAACGCTTAAAATAATGAACCAGTGTCTGTATTCGGATATTTGCGCAAAGCTACTCAAGAGTTATGTGCGCTAGCTATCCTAACTTTTGAACTGATAGGCTAGAGAGAATGAAGCTAGTCAACAAAACTCACTGCCAACTTTTTTTTACTATTCTTCTGTCGCCGAATAGTACAGTTTGACTGTCACTCTTATGACGCACCCACAGCCCTAAAATTTGGATTGAATCTGTTATTGAGTTATTTGGATGCGGATAATGGAACAACGGGTTTATAGTCCAGCACACTTGCTACTGGGCCAAGTGGTGTCAGGATGGATATCGGGAAATAAAACCACATCAGCCAAACATGAAAGAGGTCGAAGTGTTCTGGGAGTGGTACTAACCCGCTACCAGCCGGAGCCCGAGGCCTGCAGGTCTACCCGAGAACAACGCCCGATGAACTTTGTGATCCAGTAGCCATGAATAAGACCAGTGGATGATAATTTTGCCCAAGGCTGTGTTCGTTATTATTATGCTGATCTACAGTTGTGCTCACCTAGCTACGTCTGTTATTAAGATACGCTGCGACGCCTTAGACGTTAAACTTAGCCTACACGTTTTTTTGTTGTTTGTTTTTTTTTTTTTGCTCAGTATATTGTAATGTAGGAACTTAAAATTCACCCTATCTTGCAAAAAGAATGTATAAAAAAAATCATTCCCCATCCCCCATTTTAAAGGTATAAAAAATTTAGAAATACGAAGATTTAAAGGTTTTATCGTGGGACCTTTACAAAGTCCCCCAGTGGCACAGCGGTATCTCTGCGGACTTTCAACACTAGAAACGTGGTGGGCAGAGCACAGATAGCCCATTGTGTAGCTTTGTTCTTAATTCCAAACAAACAAACAAAACCTTTACAAGAATAATAAAATAAATTTTGAGCAAGGAAATGTCAAAAGATGCATTTGAATCTCTAATCTATCTGGAAACCTTGCATGTGAGATAATGTTCTATAAAATAACAACCGAAAAATAGTTGGAACGCACAAAAACCGTACAATTTGTTGTACGTTTTGTAACGTTAAGACGGAATATAGCATAATCTAAGAATCCTTTCATAGATTACCGTGTTAGGTTTCGCGTGCATTTTTAGCCCGACCAGGTGACATTTAATTCCTCTGTCTGTGATTATTCTGCAGTTTTCTCTATATGTATGCGTGCATTCGAAACGATGACTCATTGGTGTATCATCAAATTACTCCATAACTGGCTAACATAATAGTAATAAATATTAATGATATCCTTCATTCAGAGCAAATCAGTTTTTGTGGAGGACGCATTTAAAGGATAAGTGAATGGCGTTGTTATGCGGCGTTATTAAAATTCTACTTCTGAAAATCTCCTTTAAACCGATGTCTTGATATGCTTCTCTTTTAAAAACTAACAATTTGGTGAACTACAGCTTAAAGTAAAAGATAGCTGTAAGATCGTAGTTGTTCACATAGCCACTGAAGTAATATCCAAGCGTCATAGTCAGTGGGTCCTCCAGTGGCACAGCGATATGTCTGCAGACTTACAACGCTAGAATCTGGGTTTCGATACCAGTGGTGGCCAGAGCACAGATAGCCCATTGTATAGCTTTGTGTTTAATTACAAACAAACAAACAAATCCTTGTAAGATCAATCGTTAAAAGATAATAATTTTATTTAACGTTTTCTTTACGTTTATTGCCAGGAATGGGATTTCTTTAACCATATTTAAAATGTTATCAATTGAGTAAAATTTTAAATAATTAGCCATGATAATTTATATTCAAGAACAGAAAGTCCAGGTCTTTCTTTATTTAATACTTTTGTATAGAACCTGTTTTCGGTTATCTTGGCTCTAAAATCAGCCATTACCAAGAAAAGCTTCAGTGACTCATCATATACTTTTGAAAAATAATGTAAGGTGATTCTTTTAATTCACGTGTCGCACATTAAACTAAAAAATTTAAATCTAACGAAACCATCCAAAATAATGTTGATATTATAAATTCTTTCATTACTAAATTTTTTCTTTGTTTTTATTTATCAGAAACTTATCGATATCTTCGTTTTCACAATCTATGCTTTTAACACGCAAAAAAAAAAAAGAGTCACAAACTTGTTACATAGTATAGCTTCATGTTCTACTTCCGCCTGGCTTGAAAACACAACAACAATCTTAGTACATTATTTGGTTTGGTCAAGTGCCAACAAGGCTCTTAAAACTGTGTGCAAATAGTAATGTGTTATTGTAGTTTAAATTACTTTTAAAGAGATACTATTTAATGGTTTGAACCATTAAAATATTTTCTTTAATATAGCAGTTTCTCACGTTGAAAACATAAACCAATTTTCTGATACTTAAACACGTAATTTAAATACCACAAAATAAAATATTGCTGAGATATTTTCTTAAATTATTTCATCGTGTTTCTAAACTTTTATTATTACTTTATTTTTTATTGTTATTATTGTATTGAAACATAATACACTGATAAAGCACTATTTACAAATCTACCAGATTTCTGGGTCTTGTCATCAGATAAAATGTCTCCATTTTATTTGAACACTCCTTATTGTTTAACTTCTCCCATGATAAGCGAGTGGACTTGGAGTCAAAAAATAATCGTAGCAAAATGGAATAAGGGTTACTGGGCTTTCAGAGAAGACATTTTTTTTTTCTAGCTTGCATGTCTTTATAGAACAAATAATTAACTCATGGGCTTACCCCTTCCAAAATAAAATAAAAATCATGGCTATGGAACTAATAGACTCCCTCCCTTGTCACACACAAAAAGAGAGAGAGAGTGAACAGTGAGGTGTGATCTCCAGAAAATATGGCATTTATAGATTTGAAATGAGGTAATTCCTAAAACGTATACATGGTGAAACATGAAAATACATGAATGGCAGTCTTGAAATTATGAATCTATATTAACCTGTCCCCACAAGGAGTAGACTTGAGAGAGGTGGGCTGGTTTCCCGGCTTATAACAATTCAAGTATACGAATAATTATAATGAACGCAAACAAACGTAACATATTCAAAACCCATTATTTATTTTTTCTGGTGGCGCTTTGTAAACTGTGTATGCCGTTCATATTATTCATATTTATTGTGAGGTGAGAGAAAGCTAACATAGAAGACAAAACATAACAGTTCTGTTTATGATATTATATACATGGATTAGATCAGATTGCGTAGTTTATTACACAACAACTAGTAGTCTTAAAATGTTTTAAGTATTTGAAGACCAAGAAAATTTGATTGAAAATAAGATTAAGGATAATTTTTTTGTTTACTAAAAAAAAACAAAAATATTCTATACAATTTTCTTTCTGTTTTCTTCTTTTACTTACTAAGTCGCCACATTTTTATTTATTTAAGTCAGTAAATGAAAGCGGAATTCTCATTACATCGTTTATTGATCGAACTCAAACAGTAATAATTGCTCAAAAGGTCTAAATTATTTCAACAAAAAAAAATCAAACATGTGAAATAAAATTCTCAATCGTTAGATATTCAACAAAATGAAAACATATTATAAAAATAGATAGTGCAACCCAAGAGATTAACTTGAACACATCACAGGGATGAAACTAACTTAACACATCACAGGGATGAAGCTAGTTTAACACATCACAGGGATGAAGCTAACTTGAACACGTCACAGGGATGAAGCTAACTTAACACATCATAGGGATGAAGCTAATTTAATACATCATAAGAATAAAGCTAATTTAACACAACACAAAGATGAAGCTAACTTAACACAACACAGGGATGAAGCTAACTTAACACATCACAGGGATGAAGCTAGTTTAACACATCACAGGATGAAGCTAATTTAGCACATCACAGGGATGAAGCTAGTTTAACACATCACAGGGATGAAGCTAATTTAACACATCACAGGGATGAAGCTAGTTTAACACATCACAGG